GGCAGAGTTAGACATAGCGAGAGAAGTCTTCATCCACTGGTTCACTCTCCAAATGGCCACAACAGCCAGAACTGGACCTATCCAAAATCAGGAGCTTGGAGCTTCTTCTGGGCCATGTGGCCACGGGGCCCAAGGACTTGGGCCATCTTCCACTCCTTCCCCAGGCCAAAGCAGAAAGCTGGATTAGAATAGATGTAGCCAGGACTCAAACTGGCTCCCACATAGGATGTCTGCACTGCAGACGACGACTTTACCTGCTACACCACAGTGCTGGCCCTGACGATCTTTTTTTTTTTTTTTTAAGATTTATTTATTTATTTGAAAGAGTTACACAGAGAGAGGAAAGGCAGAGAGAGAGGTTTTCCACTCGATGGTTCACTCCCCAACTGGCTGCAATGGCCGGAGCTGCATTGATCCGAAGCCAGAAACCTGGAGCTTCTTCCAGATCTCCCACGTGGGTGCAGGGGCGCAACGAGTTGGGCCATCTTGTACTGCTTTCCCAGGCCATAGTAGAAAGCTGGATTGGAAGTGGAGGATCTGGGTTTTGAACCGGTGCCTATATGCAATACCCATGCTTCAGGCCAGGATGTTAACCTGCTGCGCCACAGCGCTGGCGCCGCAATTTCCTTTTGATAGAGGCTTGTCCTCTATTGCATATGGATATATCAGCTGTAGACCAAAATGGTTCTGTTTGTCTCATGCTTACCATAATGTCTCAATGTAAATAAAGAACTCATTCATTTCTTATAATGAAAAATATTAAAAATTCATTACTTTTACAATATATATGTTATTCCCATGTTAATTGGGACTCTCATGTTTACTTATTTTATCAAATATTTAAAATAGAAAATGTAAGATTATAGCTATGTAATTAGAAGTTTATACGATGGCTAAATTCTCTGAAAGATGAATTTCACGAATCCCTTCTAATTGTTCCTTCTGCATGTGTTTCAAGTATAGAAAGATTTAAATACTCAGTTTCTTTAGTAAGTGTGAAAATTTAATCAAGTAAAAGTTGCAATATATTATCCATACACATGTGATAATTAGAACGAAGCCACTACACATGACTATGTAAAAAGAAAAAAAAAGTATAATTAAATATGAGATGTTAATCAGATAACAGTTTTAGAAGATATGTAGCAATAGTGCTTTTTTGTCGACTAAGTTTCCATGTAAGGATAAAAGACACATAAAGGAACAGAGCAATAAAATGAATTTTATGTACTTGTTCAGTGTCATCACAGATAACAATACACTTTTATTATTATGAAGTAAATAGTTCTAGATGATCATGATTGATCATGATTTGAAAAATCACTAAATATTATGGAATTGATAACTGGTTGATTTGGAACTGTAAGAAACTGACTTAGAAATATCTGAAGATGAATCCCATCAAGGTGGCATGTACCAATGCCATCTCACTAGTCCAAGTGATCAATTTCAGTTCACAACTGATCGTAATGATAGGACTAAGAACCAAAGGGATCACATAAACAAATCTAGTACCTACTAATACTAATCGATAGAATAAATAAATAAATAAGGGGAGAGTGATCCAACATGGGAAGCCAGATACTCAGCAGACTCATAGAATGGCGGATGTCCTAAACAGCACTCTGGCCTCAGAATCAGCCCTACAGGCATTCTGATCGGGCTGAAAAGCCCATGAGAGTATTTCAAGCATGGAAAGCCAAGACACTCTGGCAAAAAAAAAACAAAAACAAAAACAAAAACAAAAAAAAAAAAACAAAAAAAAAAAACAAAAAAAAAAAACAAACACCTAAATGAAAGATCTCTGTGAGTGAGATCCCAGTGGAAAGAACAGGTCTTCAAAGAAGGAGGTACCTTTCTCTGAAGGGAGGAGAGAACCTCCACTTTGACTATGACCTTGTCTAAACAAGATAAGAGTCGGAGAACTCAAAAGGCTACCATAGCCTTGGAAACTCATGACTGGAGCATAGGGAGATTACTGATGCCATAGACAGGAGTGTCAATTTGTAAAGTCAACAACAGGAGTCACTGTGCACTTACTCCTCATGTAGGATCTCTGTCCTTAATGTGCTGTACATTGAGATTTAATGCTATAACGAGTACTCAAACAGTATATTTCACTTTGTGTTTCTATAGGGGTGCAAACTGTTGAAATATTTACTTAATGCATACTAAACTGATCTTCTGTGAAAAAAAAAAAAAGAAGAAGAAGAAATTATCAATTCCCAACTTGACTCTGACTGGGATTAAACATGACAATAGGTCTGATCTGATTTCATCATCATTTAAAAAATCATCTATTATTTTTCACTTTATGTTTCTGTGTGGGAGAAAACTGTTGAAATCTTTACATAATGTATGCTAAACTGATCTTCTGTATATAAAGAGAATCGAAAATGAATCCTCATGTGAATGGAAGGGGAGAGGGAGTGGGAAAGGGGAGGGTTGCGGGTGGGAGGGACATTATGGGGGGGAAGCCATTGTAATCCATAAGCCGTACTTTGGAAATTTATATTCGTTAAATAAAAGTTAAAAAAAAGTAAAAAAAAAAAAAGAAATATCTGAAGATAAGACTACTCAATTTGTAGCAAAAGTTAAAATATTTGTTGTATATGGCTTTAGTTCTGAAGTTTTGTTTCAAAAATAATTGAGTACATTAGGTATATGATATTCTTTTGAATATTGTTAACAGAAATTATATTTTCTAATAATATAAATTTTGAATTAACACAGACGCCAATATTTAAACATTACTTACATATTTAATCCTTTATTGGAAACCAGAAACACCTACTTCAATTCTGCATTGTATAAAAAAACAGGAAGTGGTTTTCCATTTGTTCACAGTATTCTGAAAAGTATACAATTTGAAGAAGGATATGATTTCAGACTTGGCACAAATTATGTGCATTGCTGGAATAGAAATATTATCTATTTAATTTACTTTTTACACTTGTATTTTTTACAACTTGTACAGTTGTATCATTGTACAAGATGTTCTAACACTTTTAGAAAAGTTTAAAAATGTTTCCAGTTATTTCCAAAGAAAGATAAAATAAGAATACCAGTTATTTATTTATTTTCCATTATATGCATTTATACTTATCAGAAAAGATCAGGTATCCTTCAGTTGAGGAATTTAGGGTAGTTTAATAACATATGATAAATAAAAGAAATTGGTAAGGAGAGGATAATGAGGACATCTTACCAGGCATAATTTCATGCTAACATTGTATGACAAGAGAGCTCAATGTTTCTGTATTAGTCTCTTGAAGAGTAAAATCAATTTATCATCTGTTGAAGCTGATTCACGTGAACCAAGGAAATAACTGATTTACTCAATATATTACATAGAAGCGTGTGTTCAAAAATCCCGGCGGGCGTAAAGAAACTTACTGACCTATTTTAGCATTTTGAAAAATTTAATTTTAGATGAAGAGAAATATATAACCACTTTGAGAAGGAAATAATTGCCCAATAGTTTTCTTTTTTGAAGATAATTCTTCAAATTAAATAATAAATGATACTCTTGGAAGAGTGTTCTTCAAAAAATATTTTCTTACAGGAGTTTTTGAATAATTATTACATTCAAACATTTTGAAAGTGAAATTCTTTATGAAGTACACAGAAAACTCTGCCTCCTCACTATGTCCCATAGACAACTAGGTCTCATCCCCTTCATACATGCTTTGCTATTTGCTTTTAGTAATTATGATTGTTATTTACTTTTGTTCTTAATAATTTTGCATTTCTATGAAAAACAGATACAGATTCTTATTTTCACCTTTCCACACACTAATATTCATATTTTTCTCATCTTGGAGAGAAACACTGAATATCCAATTACATCAAAAAACCCTATATCTTATTAATAAATTCCTTATTGATAACTTTTCATGATTTTCTATTTCCTAAGAAGTTCTGTAATAAATAATGTTATGTGTTAGTCATTTTACATAAATGAATAGCTTTTGAATACATTTCTGGTAATTGCACTTCTAGGTAAAATAAAGGGATTTTGCCATTCACTTACTCATGACACCATCCTTTCCACCCAGTCCTGAAAACTGATTTTGTTGTAAAGATGACAGATTGTGGCAAATTTTCAAGCTATTCTGCATAGAATGTGTCCTTTCCAAATTTGTGTGCCTAA